CACTCCTGTTGTTGGATCTCTGCTTTGCTCATGCCTGACTCCAGCCTCACTCCAGATCTGCTCCTGTTTGCTCTTACATGATCCAAGCCCTGCCCCTGCCCCTGCCCCTGCTGTTTTTGGACATCTCAGCTCTGATCTATCACCTGCTCTAATCATAATACAACCTCAACCCTTAGACTGATAACTCAGACAGCAAAAGATATGACCCCAGCCTGCCTATAGTAACTCATTAAGAGACCACTCACAGCCCAGCCATAACTGGAAAAATCTAGTCTATTGCATTCTGCCTTTCAAAAATGACATGAGCGTTATATTTTGAGGCATGTTGTATGGTAGAAGATATGGCAGTCCAACGCTCAAACAAATGATGCCCAGATATACAATACAACTAGTTTAATTTAAATGCATTCAAAAAAACTATGAAACTGTTAAAGGTTTTACTGTTTTATTTTGAAAGCCTGTTATACAGAAGAGTTGTAAAACATGTACTTTTCCTTCACAAAAATATTTTCCCAATTGTCCAGTCTGCACAAAATGTTAATCAATTTTTTTCAAGTGTTAATTGTCTCATTAGATATTCAGGAAACAGGCATAGCAGCACAGCTCTGCTTTTATGGCATCCGGGGCAGTGCTGGCCCCTGCCATGTCCAATTGCAGCAGCATAATCAGCTCCTGCTCCAGCAACAGCTGCTTTTGTATCCTTCCACAAAGGCAGTGCCTGGGGCTCCTACCCTATTCACCTCCCCTCAATTATGCTACTGTCAGGAAATGCTGCAATGTTTCAGAGAAATAAGTAGTAGTGATTACACACACACACCAGTGATTCATTAAGAAACAAATAAATTGGTTTTCTGTGACATTTACTGGCTATATATACTAAATAGCCAATAGTAACTATATTTGGCACTCTGTTTTATTTGGAACTTTTAGTTAACAGCCAGGGTTTAAAATTCAAAACTCATTTAAGGGTAAAAAATGGTCACATGCATTTGCAATGCTGCAAGAGGTGTGGATAAGCAATGTTTCTTGGCATGCCAATATTTTTCAAGATTTGTAAATAAACAGAGAAAATAAAGTCTGATCCAAACATCAGTAGAATCCATGGGATTATTTTAACTGATATTTATGGGTTTCGTATCAGCATTTTAAATCTTGAGAGTAACTTCTAAGCACATTGTAATCTTTAGCCACAGTAACTCACAAATTTGTTTCCAGTGAAGCCCAAGAGTTTTGCTGTTGCTGATGAATATGCAGCAAACATTTCTGAAAGTGAGATTATTACTAAGGAAGGTTACAGAAACCTTGCTTTATGATGTTTGGGTCATCCTATAACATATTACATACTTGATAAGGAGCCAAAATTGCTCCATATGTTGTTTTCTTTCAAATGGATTGAGATCATTGTGTCTCCAAGTACTTATAAATTAGTTATATAACTCCAGTCAGCATAAAATGTCATGCCACATTTTATGATGCCACAGCATCAAGTTAAGCGGTACGTTGGTATGCGTATGAAGGGTATATTAATCTCTTCAAACATTTTTTTTGCTGTGTCAGTGGTACTTAGATCAGACACCAAAAGCTTTTGGATAATATGAAAACTTTGCAACAATTACATTGAGAATAATGAAGTTTCAGCTTCAAAAGAATGCTTTTTTTTTCTACTGAAAAAAGTATCCATGAATAACCTGAAAGCTACAAAGGCAAGACCAGTACCACAGCATTTGACATATATTTTCCAAATGCCAAAATTATGCAAAATGTGCAAAGTTTGCTGATGTCTCTGTCTCTATCCTGAAATAAACTATTATACAAGATGTAGCTCCTATGAGAAGTAAGAGAGGATGTTATGGTACTTAATTAGAATAAAATACAGAACACTTAAAATATTTCATTGATTACAAAATACCATGTCCCATTCAGTGCTGCACATTAAATACTCTGTTTCAATCTCAAATTGACATAATTAGGTTTCTTGCTAGTAATAACCCTAAAAATGGCTCACAAATTAGACAGTTTTAAACATTACAAATTTCCATACCACAGATGTACAGAAATAGCCATGGGGCATTAGAGAGAGAGATAATTTCTCCAAGGAGAAAATAATTCATGAAGAGAGACTCACTTCAATAAGCCAATGGAAAAGACCAAGCTTCTCTAAAGGTCAATACAACCTGAAACATAATTAGGCTTGGAAAAAGAGAAGCAAAGAAATTAACAGCACTTTGTAAAAGATCAATAACGAAGATAAAAGTTGAAAAGCCACCACTGATTTTGGTTTGATCTTTTCACAATTAAATAAATAAATGAATGTCCCATGTGGACTTCTGAAACTTTCATCCACATATTCTGAAGTATTTTATAAACATTAGTTAATACAATATAATTATGCAGGTAAATCTTACTGTATCATCTTCATTGTTTAAACAAGTAAACGGAAGGGCATAGACAGGAAGTGACTCAACCAATTTACAACTCAGCACACCCAATTCGTTCACACACTCCCCATATCAGCTGCAAAACCAGAAATTGTGTGTGTTGCATTTCATAAAAGCACGTTTATCTAGTGCTCTGAGTGTTAACAGTTTACATTCAAAGTATTCACACAATATATCTAAATAGATGGATTGTAGTGCACCCATACTCAAAACATATGAGCTCTTATTCACTCCAGCATCTTTCTCAGCTTTTTCTCTTCTAGATGTCCCAGATAAGCATGCTTTATACCATGCTGAAAGTCAGACTAGTACCATGGGGAAGTTCAGGAAGAAAGTTCAAGAGCTGAGAAGTCTAGCATCTACTGGGCTCATCCACACATTTCTTAATACACTTTAGATACTGTGCATTTAGTTTAGTACTTCCTTAATAAAGTACTAACTAAATGTGCAGAACCTAGAGTTACTGAGCAGTAGTGCCAATGCATGGTTATTTAGAGCCTGACTGCATATTAGCCTAATAACACTGTGCAGTAGGCTATTTGTACGTTTTTTGCTTCAACACACTACTGCACAATGTTATTAGGCTAATGCGCAGTAAGCATTTTGTGTAGACGTTCCCACTGAGAAAGCTCTGTGCACAGTTTCAAGTCACACTTTGTCTAAGAAGAAACCAAAGCCCTGTGTAGTGCATCTGATCATAACTAAGGGGACTAACTAAAATGGACATTTTAGCTGGTTCATACTGCTCCAGGAGCTGGATTCAGCCTGAAGACCATATGTTTGACAGCCCTGCCTTAGACACTGGCTACCATCTGAAGTGTTAAACATTTAGACAGTACAACAGTGTTTAAACCAAAGCCCCTTCTTTCCAACTTTTGTGGGTACTTGATTAGGAAGTAAAATTCTCAAGGCATATCAGGGAGAATATACAATAAACCAGAAGCTCTGGTCAGGAGTGCATTTAATCTGAGAACTCCAGATCCAAGCCGTTTTAGTTTGTTATTTTTGAGCACATAACTGTCAACATTCCCATACACAGTCACAGTCATGCATAATTCATTACTAAATTCTTTGAGCACCAAAGGGCCACACCGTAGTTCTGTTCAAAATTACCATATCAACTCACTAGACTTCCTAGGTGAAAGAAATATATAATAATCAATGAGAGTAGACAAATCTATGCTCAGAACACCCCCAAAGTCTAGAAATTGGAATTAGAAATCCAAGTCTGATTTTAAGATCACTATGATCATTGTGTCCGGAATAATTACATACAACCATCTAATGGGTTGTGCATACAATGCCCAGGCACAATTTACAGAATTGTGAAAAAGTAAAGGATAACCTCTGTACCATACAAATCGTCCATGATAAGGAGGAAAAACACCTCAGTGTTTAGTGAAAAAGTCTTCATGAGAGAAACAAAAGGGTTGGGCAGCCTCTTGCTATGAACATACCATCTGTCTATTTTGGGATAAAAGCTTATTTTTCTAGAAATCTTTTGCTGGCACTTAGCTATAACATTTTTCAACTTCATTTCTTCTTCTATCACAAAAACAAGTATTCAGCCTGCTGCTGAGTCACTGACTGCCAAGATATTTAAGATCCTTATTTATTGTTTTTCCACCAAAAAAACAGAATCAGTAGATGAATACCTCCCCCCACCAACCCCCACCCCCAGCCTGCAATAGCTGCATTTCACTGTAATATGTGCTAACTTTTTAAGCCATGTAGTCATGGGCTTATCTGTTTGCCTCTTCCAGAAGATTAGTAAGGTTAGTAAGAGTGCTAGGTAATACATATTTTAGCAATTTGCCTTCAGACAAAATCTTTCAAAAGTCTGCTAAGGTGCAAAAGATATTTGCCAGCCCTGACCCTATCACCAACCCCATTCAATGAATCATTCTGAAAATAAAACTAAGGCTTATTCTCCTCAATACATGACTGTTTAGTCTAATTTGGCACTAGGGCTTAGAATTAAAAAAGAAATTTGTCCTGAACCTAAATTGCCATGCCTGCTTGTTTGATGTCTACCTTTAACAGATTTATGTCAGTCTCTTCATTTCCTGGCAGGCATTTTTTGTGTATGGTGCCTGCTGACAATCCAGCTGTCTCTGCCACCCGAGGGGCCAATTAGAGAGATTGTAAATAATTCATCAAGAGTTTGTGCAAAAGTAGAGTGTGTCAAATATAACTTGCAGGTTTCATTCTAAAAAGATTTTTTTCCAGTCAAGTTTACTGTAGCTTATCACAGGCAACTTCCTACCATGAATTTTCAGCATTACATGCTATTGAGATTCGGGGCATATCTTATATTTAATTTTCACAGACATTCCTAATTTTGTTCTGAAGAGTGCAACAGGTCAGCTATCCAAATGCACCATAGTGCATGGTTGCTTTACCAGAACTTCAGATTCTTTCTGTACATGAAAAAAATGTTCTCTTGTGGACAGAAATCTAACTCACCATTACTTGGAGGCTTACAGGGGGAAGTGTTTAAGAAACAAGAAATAACAGATTGTCATTCAGTAGTTAGTGGGGGGGGGGGGAAAAGATGCACACCTTACTCTTTTCTTGTTGGAGCTCGATTTGAATGTCTGTGAGTTTTGCCCTGAGCTCTTCATTGGCAGCTTGTAAGGCAGCTAAGGCATCAGGCTTTTCTCCCTTAGCTCGAATACTGGCACCCTTCTTTGACATTGTGAGACAGTGTGACAGGGAGGGTGAAATCCCAAGCAGAGAGAACCCTCTGTTCCACCGCTTGAGGCTCTTCCTTGCTTCTGTTCCACTACATTTTATTGCTCACCTAGAAAGAGATAAATCACAACTATTATAAAAGTGCCAGTATTTAGCAGGATCCACAATTAGCCAATAAGTATAGCAAGACCAAAGCATATGGTAGATGGTTCTCGCGTGTATACATTTATAAAACTCAGCAATTTTATAGTAAACAACCTTTAATAAAAAGGAGGTTTTTAATTTCAATATATTTAAAGTCTGTAACAGACCATGGCAAGGACATTAGAAAACCAGGCAGTTGCACAAACAGTCCTCTGAAATATTATCTGCATCATATGTGAAAATTATTGAAGAGAAATTAGAAAATGTGTTTTAGAGCCATACTTGTACGCAAAAGCACTCAATCTCTGCATATGGAAATAAGGAATAAGCATTAAAAACTATAGTCAAATCAACATAGTGGGTCTTATCTAACTCTCACAGAAGTTGACGTTCTTTTTTGTTGACATCAATGGGAGTTGGACAGAGTTCAATGTTAGCCAAGATATTGTTAAGTTTCTCCAAGTGAGAAGGCTTAGAGCCAATTGGAGGAAACCTTTCATCATTTTCATTTGTATTTATATTGCGTACAATATTACTTGTTCTGACTACCCACACTGGCAGAAAACAGCTGAGAGCAAGAAAATCCTTTCGAATATCTAGACAGAACAATTTTCATTATTAGATTCAGATTTAGAATTTATCTAAAAGAAAATCAACTTTTCAGGCACTGCAGAAACTTTTATATACAGGTAAGTAAATACTGAATCAAGTGTAGTATGTTGAAGGCAATATAAATTAGTGTGGTAAATCCAACAAGCTAGAATTCTGATCACTTCTATATTTGTCCTAACCTGATACCAAGTCAGTCACCCTGCTTTCTGCTGAGAGGGTTAGGGCTGTGTGTATATGCATATACCTCCAAACAGAATTGAGAAAATTAAATTCCTCTCATTCATAAGTAGAGAAGCTACTGGGAATTTAAAGTGAATCATAGACCAAAAAACTTAATGCAGTAAGGCTATGACTGTATAGTAAACTGCTCCAAAATGCCATTTTCAAACATGTTACACTTTTCTAAGCAGACTGCTTCCCCAAACAGTGTAACCTGAGGGACAAGGCTATATGACTTCTTGTTTAAAACGTAGCTCTTTCAATGCAGGACAGCATGCCTCAGGATGATATTTTGATGTACGGTAAATTTACTGTATGGACACAACCCAAGACAGTCTTTCCCTTCTAACCTACTAACCCCAACAAATTTGTAAAATGAATAATCTTTACAGTTTCATCTCCTAGTCACCAATGCAATGTACAGTCACAAATGTACAGTGTTGTATCACAGGGAATCATAAATAAGTAGGACTGGAAGGGACCTCCAGAGTCATTTCTACACCAACACCCTGCTTGAAGCAGAATCATACCTATCCAAACCAAATGTGATATATAATTATTCTTACTTCAATTGTAATATTTAAAATTATTCAGTATTCTCTGACAGCAGCTTAGCACAATAAAAACTTTTGGATTAGGGAAAGCATAATTAAACATACAATGGATGTGCAACATTATATACACAAAGGTTAGAATGCTAAATCACTAATGAAAATAAAAGATCCCATGAAGTCAATACTTTTAAGAAAAGGTCAAGAGAGTTATTGAGAATAAAGGTTATGTTCCACTGTAAAAAAAAAAATCACATGCAGTTGACTAGTATGTACATCAGCTCTAGTTAACTTAGATTCTTATAATATATAAGGACAATATTTACTATGACGCATGCCTTGAGATGAGGCTTTCTTGCCTCAATTTTTCTTCCCCCACCCCAGTTTTAGTTTCTCTGCCTTAAAGATCTTAAGAACTATATTTCACACTATACATAACAGATACCTAAGCAGTCTAGTGGTACAATGACAAGAAAATACCCATTGGCTAAGTACAGTCAAAACACCCAAGGCTGAATTCACAGATTTCATAGACATTAGGGTTGGAAGGGAACTTGCAAGATCATTGGGTCCAGCCCCGTGCCCAAGGGGCACAACGTCAGCTGGGGTCAAATGATCCCCGCAGGATAGGCATCCAAGTGTTTCTTGAAAGTGTCCGGAGTAGCTGCTTACACCACTTCCATGGGGGGAGTCTATTTCTGAGAATTTCAGCCTCTGGGGACAGAGACAGTAAAGAATTTTTTTCTTATGTCCAG